GGTTACTTGTATTGATATTAGTGTTGATTATTTCCTTGACCTGAAGTTTGACCCTTTGTATGTGCGTGATTTCCTTCTTGCCGATTGGTAAATTTTATCAATCTTGATGTGTCTATTGATTGATGATTCACTGGAATGCCAAGCTGGCTTCTAAAAATTCTCTAGCATTCTTGTTGTTTCCTCTGTCTAATATTTAAAAGCTGGTTGTCCCAGTCGAATTGATGTCCGTGGTTGTCTGTATGTAGTGATATGAGCGACGGAGTGGATGTCCTATCTTTTGACGGCTAGCTTATGTTCGTGGATACGAAGACGAAGGGGACGTCCACTTTGGCCAATGTAGTGTTTTTCGCAGTTGTTACAATTTATTTTGTAGATGATGTTGGTTTTGTCTTCTTTCGCTGTTGGGTCTTTTGGTTGACATAGAATTGAGTGAAGAGACTTTGTTGGTTTGTGTACGACGTCAATTCCTGAAGGTTTGAAGAGTCTTGTAGTGATTTCTGAGGTGTTCTTTATGTCTAGTAAGGCGGTTTTCTTTGTGCTTTCCTTGGGGGGCTTTTGGTTTGATAGGTTGGCTTGGGGGTATATGTCTTTTGATGAAGTTCCGTGGATATATATTCTTTTGGAAGACGTCCATGAGGTACTTTTCTTCAACGTTTCTTAAGGTGGGAGTGCTGCAGTGAGTCCTTGCTCTCTTGAATAATGTTTGTATGCAATTCCTTTCGTGTATTATTGGATTGTTGCTGTTGTAATTCAGGATTTGATCCGTGTGAGTTGATTTCCTATAAACTTGAGTTTCTAATTCCCCTGTGGTTGTTCGCTTGACTAAGACGTCCAGAAATAGGATTTTGTTCTCGGATTCCTCTTCTCTTGTGAATCTGATGTCGTTGACGACGTTGTTTATGAAGTTGTCAGTTTTATCTAACTTGTTTCCTTTGATTATTACAAATGTGTCGTCGACGTAGCGTATCCAAATCTTATGTTTGATCTTTGGTAGATAGCGAAAGAAGATAAACCCAACATCATCTACAAAATAAATTGTAACAACTTCGAAAAACACTACATTGGACAAAGTGGACGTCCCCTTCGTCTTCGTATCCACGAACATAAGCTAGCCGTCAAAAGATAGGACATCCACTCCGTCGCTCACATCACTACATACAGACAACCACGGACATCAATTCGACTGGGATAACCAGCTTTTAAATATCAGATAGAGGAAACAACAAGAATGCTAGAGAACTTTTAGAAGCCAGCTTGGCATTCCAGTGAATCATCAATCAATAGACACATCCAGATAGACAAAATTTATCAACCGATAAGAAAGAAACTTCACACACAAAGGATCAAAGTTCAAGTCAAAGGAACAATCAGTTCCAATAAAAGTAACCTAGAAGTTGCGAAAACACACACGAAAACAACCAATCACGACGTCCAAGGTCACCTATCAGGAGGGATGATTAATAAACTCGTGGGAAAATATGACAGCTCACTTCATTGAATTGAAGTATACGCTGAAGATGTCATCTAGTAGGGCGACGATAGCTTCGCAAATCAACTATCCAGCTCAGAGAACACAACCACACCAAATAAAGAGTAGTTTGTCTTGGCCAGTGCTTGTAGGATGAGTATTCATCGTATTCTAACTGCATAGATCTGCTTATAATGCTCACACTTGCAGGTAAACTAACAATCATTGTAATATGATCAATACTCACTCAGATAGATAATCAATAAATAAGTGAACAGTAAATGCAGAATTAACTAATGAACAAATTAACATAACAAACAAACAAACAGAAGTCAGTGAAGATTTCAAGTGTACATCCCAAAATTTATTTGTTTATCAACTATTTTTTGGTATATTTCAAAAACGATGAAGGTGTACACAGACTCCTCCACACACACATACACGCACACAACTAAGTACATAGGTGCGTATATATATATATATATATGTTTCAGAAAGGAAGTCGAGTAGCGTTTGTAATTAATATTATTAATTATTTAGTTGTATTGTAATTTATCTTTATTATTACAACTATTATTATTATTATCCACATCACCATTATGTAAAGTAGCCGAGGATAGTGGGTAGTAGATGATGGTAGTGGGGTGGGTAGGGTGACTGTGGATTTGGTTGGATTGGGTTGAGTTGGTTGCGTCGTAATGAAAAAAAAAGTAACTTTATGCTAAAGAGAGGAAAGTTAGATAAAAGAAGAGATGGAATTATTCAAATGAAAAGTGTTTCTCAATGCATACCACTCGTAGCAATGAGAACCCCCACCGGCCCTCCTCACTCACCACACCCCTTATCCCGTTGTGTTTCTTTAACATTTAACAAAATGAAGAGTAATATTTCAAAAAAACAGACAGACAGACAAACAGGAAATACAAGGGTAAAACCGGAAAATAGAAAAGAAAAAAAAGAAGGGAAGCAGGAAATGGGGAGAGAGACACGCACGCACACGCCCACACACACCCAGACAAACGGAGAACAAGCAAAACAGCAGCAGCAGCAGCAGCAATTCTATGCATTACTTACAATGAAAATTAAGATGATATAAATATATAATAAAATACCTATAGAAGAAGAGCACGAACAGGAAAATGGTATGAGAGTTAAAAGTGATGAAGAAAAGACTGGAAAACAGTTGACAAAGAAGGAGAAAAAAGGCAACATTTTTGTTTTTTCGAGGAGGCAAAAGGATCTATTTTTAGAAGAGGAAAAACAATTTTAGAAAAAAAAGACAACAACAAAATAGTCAAGGAAAGTAACACAATATTATCAATATATGAATATAAAACACCCTTGAGGCATCTATTTATAGGCATGTCTGAAAATGATATTTAGGCGGAAAGCTTAAAGAAGAGGAAAGAAATGTGTTCATGTACATACAACACTATAATGTATTGCTCACTTGCTTTCGTCATACTTTCATCCAGCCCGCCGCCCAGCCACCCTCCTCCATTCACTCGCTCACTCAATCAGTCGTTCTACGATTATCATCAGACCTCAAAATATACAAAGACTAGTGAATATAAAATTCAACGGGATTACCGCATCTGTTATAACATAAGTTATGATGATCTCTGTGTTACCACCATTGTCTGCTTTTGTGCGTATTTTGTCTGTTAGTCAGAGTAAGTAAAAATCTTGGAATATTGAACATTGAAAAATCAAAGATGTAATTCAATTTCAAGGTCATATATATATGCATGATAACATGTATGTTATGTTTAAACAAAGCGGACAAAGTTAAAAAAAAGGAAAAAGAATAAATGAATGAATGCACGGAAATTAAAACAAACAACTTCATTACTTGTTGGATATTTAATCTCTTTTTCGTGTCAATTACACATTGAATTGAACTTCTACTACTACTACTACTAATGTAATGACAGCAGACTCCCAATAAACATGATGCAGACAGAGAATGATAAGGAATTTTCACATATGATAGACATATTACACATGTATCAGTTAGTGATCATTTCAATGCACGTGCACGGACACACACACACACACACAGATAGACAGACAGACAGACGGTCACAGCAATGCATGACCGGTTAAATAATCCATACAAGATTATCATCAAAAGGAAATCAATAGTGGAGTAAAGTATCATTGTGTAATAGAATACAAATACAATGGCGAAATCCAGCAGAAACTATTATCCTTGATGAGATAGGCGATAGCATTTAGAAAAAATAAACGAAAGAATATCAGAATATAACCTTCTATAGTTGTAACGCAGTTGGTCGGATTTATGAGAGAATAGACATTTTTCTGCATAGAGAGTCATAAATGAACAATGAGTCAGTAAGTTAAACAGTCAAAAAGTTAGTGAGTGAATTAGGACCTCCTCTTGCTGTCAATGTTTTATCCACAAATTAAACAGACCTTGAAAGTTGATAATTAAATGTTTAAATGTATGAGAATACAGTAACTTTGATGTAAGACTGTAATAGCAAAATGTTGACAAGTCAGCGTCAAGGTTGAAGAAGAAGAAGAAGACTAACTAGAGGACAGGATTAAAACAAAGTACAAAAAAACGGATCATGTCTCTGTGTTTTTATATTGACTAAATGATGGAAGGATTTTTCTCTTCCTGTCAATGTCTCTCTCTCTCTCCTTCTCTCACACATACACACAAAAGAGGTAAGAAGACAAAGGAACTCAGTGAAGTGATATGTTCAACTTAATTACATACATTTACATAGTAGTAGTAATAATAATAATAATAACGATAATGAGATGAGCAGATTTTTCAGTTGGCATCACCGCTATTGACATCCACTATCACATACTAGGAAACAGTCAAAACTGGGTTAAATTCTTGTCCAGAAAAAGAGAGAGAGAGAGAGACATACAGTGACAGACAGAGAGGCTAAAAAGAGGGTATATATATTATGAAAACTACATTGAACATTAATCGTCCTGCCAGGCTTTCTTGCTCACTCACTCACTCGCTCGCTTGCTCGCTCTCTGGCTTCCAAGCTTATATGTCTGTAGAAAAAAGGATTTGAGAGAAATCAAGCACAAAACAGAAAACCAATATATTTTCGACATGATTTTGATTATAATTCAGGTTCTGTGTCCTCCTGCCGACTAGTAGTACCACTACTAACTAATACTATACACTATTGCTGTAATGTTACACATTGTCCTCAGTCTTTCAGCAATGTGGTGTCTTCAGCTGTCATCTTTATCCTTTGTCATTTTGCAGTCCATCCTTCCATGTGCAATGCTTTCTTCCACACTAGTCTCAATCCATTACAGTTATATATCGGAAATACTATTACAAGGAAGAGTACACACTATTTATATTATTATTATTATTAATTTTATAAAGAAAGAATACTAGTATACTTATTATCATTATTATTTTTACAATAATTCTCCATAAATTAAAATATATAGTAAATATATATACTTTTGTAATATTATTATTATTAGTAGTAGTAATAGTAGTAAAGGTTGAAGTGGCTGGTGATTCAGGTCGTATGGGGCGGGGGAGGGGGAGGCAGGGACAAGGGTAAAGACAAGGGGTAACATCATCAGCATCGGCGTCAGCATCAACATCATCATCTTGGAGGAAATACATGAGAAAAACATTTGTGAGGTAAAATTTTCTACACATATATATATATATATATATGTATACGTATGTGTATATATATATATGCATATTATATGTATATTATCAAATACATTCATATAACAGACAAGCAATATCACCCAAAAGACAGAGACAGAGAGAGAAGGACAGAGAGTAAAAATATTTTTAAAGGAAAGGAAACCAAATGAAAAGAGAAAAAATGGCATAATACATTTGTGTATGCATGTATGTACGTATGTGTATGTATGTAAGTGTCTGTCTTTCTGTGTGTGTGTGTGTGCATGCTTGTGTACGCGAGTTTATTTAGTAGTAGTTGTAGACGATGAACTAGATCCAGCGACAGGAGATGGAATGGAAGCACTTGGCACTTTACTAGGCGATGATGATGTTCCCGTTGTTGTTGTTGCTGTTACTGTCGTTACTGTTGATGTGGATATTCTTGAACTAATCGATGATGTATTATTATATCCATCACCTTTAATAAATTTACTTGAATCAGAATTTATTGTTCTATTTGACTGACTACTCATACTCATATCCTTTAAACTATTATTCTTATCAATGTTATGATGGTCATCATCATCGTCTGAGGAACGTTCTTCACAGATCGACGGTGGTCTTGGCATCGCTTTCTGTGAACTCAACGATAGCATTACATTGGTGTCATCAGTATCAGCAGCAACACCAGAATGATTATCACTACTAGTAGTAGTTGTTGTAACATGTGAATCAGAATTTTTAGTATCTATCCCATCACTACTCGGTGTATTCGATGTATACGATGATGGCCATTGTCGTTTAGAATTCATATCTAAATGTGGTGGCATTCTTTCATTCACTTTATCAAAGGCTTTTGCTTCTTCAAAACATTGAATTTTATGAGGTGTCCATGTTCCAGATACAGCTAGAAAGGCAGAAAAAGAAGAAAGAGAAACAATTGATAAAAAAATTATTCCTTCATGTCGGAAGCCCCCCCTCCCCCCGCGCCGAAAAAAAACCATACGAAAAATCATTCTGAACATCCTTATTAAACTTAAATTATCATTAAAACACTGATTGATAAGCAAAATCAAATAAATATATAGCATAAAATGGCGGCGAAATCGTCTACCAAATGTCGTCGAATCGATCCTCAGTGTGAGGGCGTACTGATAAAGAGTCAGCCTCAAACCAGGACGAAACACCTTTCCCAAGTATTCCTTTGTTTTCTAACTGGCATAGCATCAGTCAATGAAATCCACAACAGTTAGTTTAAGCCAGACAGCCAGCCAACCACGTACGGAGGGAGGTGTAGACTGGCTCCCTGACTGGTTGGGGTCCTCGGCATGGTAAAAACCAATGACGGCGGCTGGAGACAATTATCGGTGATATGGCTGGCTCAGTCTCATTGGCCAGCGCAGATGCATCCAATAAAATTCTATTCTTCTTCTTCTTCTATATTACTATTATTTGTCTCTCACACATCTGTGAGTCTCTCTTTACTCTCTTCTCTTGCGTTGTGTGTGTGTGTGTGTGTGTGCCATTTTTGAAGAGAGAATGTCAACTCGAAATGATGTACAACTAAGCAAAGTTCTATGTTGAAACCATTGCAGTCAGTCGGTTAATTTACCATTGGTACTCTGACCAATATCAGCTCCTTCATCATATCCCTGTATATCAACACCTGAAATAGTATTTCTCACCAAATAAACAAAACTCCTTGTTATGATGCTAGATCTTTGTCACGTCAGGTGAATTTAAAACCCAATTGTACCTTGTGGAGAGTGAATAGATATTGACCAAAATACTTAACTTATAGTCAGTCACAGGGTGCTAAGGTTCGATTCTTCCTTGAAATACTTCAACCTGATCAAATGAGTGCCTTTATCAACCTCCTTATACTAAAACAGTTTGGAGGAGTGGGGCAAAACAGGTATACGAAATAGTATGAAGTATAATTTTCTCTCCCATAAAGTCTGGTAGGTCAGTCGATCGGCTCAGATTGCTGCACACCTAAAAAGTACAGACTAAGAGATCTGTAGGAAAGACTGAATGTCAGATGGGTTCAAATTAACCTCAATATTATTAGTAGTCATAGTAATCGTGAAATATTTTTTCAAAATTTATTCCTTTACGTTTCCAGTGGAACATAAACCTCCTTCAAGCAAGAGCTTTTAAGTTTCCGTAGCAGTAGTGCTTATTTTTACAGGATGGGTTTGAAAGCCTCATGCCCAACCTTCCCTCTTTACCAGTCTTATTATTGACTAAGCGAGGTAAAGGAGGCATGCATTGGTGGCCGGGGATCAAACTCCGGACGACATGAGGCTTAGTCAGGGAGCATTCTATCGCTGTCCCACTGACACACAACTTAATTATTATTAAACTAAAATATTCCCTCTCCCCCATGACATGGCAATCACCTAATACGGACACTTCAATGATGTCCGAAGATTAACATGATGATTTTCACTGTCAGCTGTGACTAGCAGTGGATTCCAGGATGAAGATTTCTTTATATTTTAGACTCGACTAGAGTCTCTATGCGAACACTGCTATAAAGTACTCCCCTAGCTGAAGAGCCTCAGATAGAGTGAAATGAACATTCTAGATTCCACTTCTAGTCAGTCACCACTATATTCAGCTGCAGTCTGCGAATGTTTCGCATGCTATTCTCTCCCGCCAAATGTAAGATGATGATGATACTACAAGACTGGATTACAACATTGACTCTTAGCTAAGAAATAGGGAATGAAGAGGTAGAGCACGTTGACCGCTTCACTGATTTGGGAAGTCTCATCAGCCAACGCCAGCGGTTTGATCACTGACGAAATCTGAGCAATAATACAGAAGGCTAGTTTCGCATATGCCAGTTTACGCTGTCTCCGGAGTAGACGTATTATCTGGCTGGTTATCGACAGAAGATCGTGTGTACTGCTCACCAAACAGTTCACTCCTTCCTCTTTTGTGGCTTGCTGTGAGACATAGCCATTGAAAGTGGAAGACCTTGAAAGCCTAGCTATTTTTGTTTTACTTTTTCTAATTTACAGCTTGATTCCACACAGTACTTTTAGTACAAGTATGGAATTTTCAGCATAGACATCGGTAGGCCAAATTTCCCAGGCCGACCATAGATATCAGGTATGCGTCGGCAGGGGATCGAACCTCGGACCATGTTCATGGTCAGCGAAAGTCCTAACCACTGTGCCACCGACGCAGGTGTCTGAGTTCTATCTCCCGTGTCAGGTGGTAGTATAATAGAGTGAGCAATATTTAGGTTGGGTATCGGTTGAAAGCTAGAAAGGGTGGGGTGGGGGAAATCAATCTGCGATGCTGTGAAGTTATATAATGATTAAGTCAATAAAGCCATTCGCTACACATGCCCAGCCGTCATCTTCCTCGGTGGGCTATGTTACACGACACATAGGATCAGGTTAGAAAAGAGCCATTAGTGGTCAAACCAAAATATGGCAGCATCAATCACAAGGAAATCCACAACAACTATTTGAAGCCAGCCAGCCATGTAGGGAAGGAGTAATGGACTTCCTGACTGGTTGGGGTTCTCGGGATGGTAAAAACCAGTGCAGTCCAGTACGTCAGCTTTTCCTTAAGTGAAAAAAGAACATAATATTTCCAATAACTCTAAAATTACCAATTTCCTATCGAGCATAATTCTCTTCACTAGGGTGAATTAAAAAAAGATGAAACCAATTAATCTGATCATGAAATCGATAAATTTTGAGAGACAACTGAAGACAGAAGTTGTATGTGTGTTGGGTGTGTGTGTGTTTGTGTGACACATAGACAGATAGATAGAAAGAAATGGGAGGAAGTGGGTTCAGAAGTGAAGATGGGAAAAATGATGAACAGAAGTCTTATGAAAAAGAGAAGACGTTCAGCGAAGAGACTCTTTTCGGCGAATTCATTCACATAGCTGTACAATCGCATTTATATATAATTATTTGAGTGTGTGTGTGTACATGAGGTTTGTCAAAATTAGATAATTGATCAGGTAATAAAAGAATGATCTAATATAGAAACAAAGTTAATTGGACAGCAACTAAATTAAGATTGAGTTAGTAAGTTAGATGACGTAATACAATTGACTAAAATGTTTTAACTTAGGTCAGGTTAGCAACAGAGGTAATTACAGGTAGAGACTAAGTAGAAGTGGGGTAGATAATAATGCCATTTAGATTAGAAATGAAATTGAGCAATTAAGTTGGATGACGTAACATAAATGACTATAAATTGAGCGTTGGTCAGGTCAATTAAAGTGGTAGTGAGGTGTAGAAATTAAATCGGGTAGGGGTAGAGACAAGAAAGTTGAAAATGCAAAATATTACAATTGAGAAGACAGAATAATACCAATGAAGAGACAGAAAAAAAAATTAGGTAGAATTTACCTTTCAGGTAATAATGTAGGTTAAGTCCATTGTAAGTTTAGTGATTGAACGAACCTCTTCTGTATGCAGAGTTCAGGGCTTAGCAAGTGAATCGCCATTGCTTCTGCAGTTTGAAGAAGTCTGATTCGTACACCTTTTGGAAGACTACTTCTTACTCTGTAGACGACTTTGAAGTTTGTTTGGGGTGCAGCTTGGTGTCCGGATTCTATCAGGTGTTCTAAGATGGAGCTGCGGGGACATCGCTTTTCTCCTTTGTAAAACCATGCTGGTAAGTGTTCGGTGATACGCTTGGAAAGCGAACGCTGGGTACGGCCGACATACCTGGCTCCACACGAGCAAGTGAATTGGTAGATACACATTGATGAGGCCAACAGTGGTAGCTTATCCTTCACGTTCACATGAATCATAGGTTTTGTGGAGAAAGTTAGTCGTAGTTCAGCTGCGAAGAAAGTCTTCTTGAGTGAGCGCGACAGTCGATTTTTTAGTATTTCCGCAGATATATCTCCATTGAATTGAAGGTTTATGTAGAGTGGTTTCTTCGGGACGCTATGCGTGGGCGGCTTTTGTGGCCTAGGATTCATAGATTTTGCAATAAATCGTTCTGGGTAACAATTCTCGACGAGGATTCTCTTGAGATTGTCCAGTTCATCTTCTACGGTGTCCGGGGTACAAATTCTGCGAACTCTGTTGCTAAGTGAACGGATCAGGTTCCGTTTGGTGTATAGGGGTACCCAACTGTGGAAGTTAATCAGCTGTCCGTTCCATGTTGACTTTCTGTAGATAGATCTTTTCAGTGTTCCATCGTGTTCTCGTCTTGTTAGTTGGATGTCAAGAAAGGATATTTTAGAGTTGGACTCTTTCTCCAGCGTGAACTGAATTGCGGGGTGGCACTTGTTAAACGACTTCAGGATGTCGTCTAGATTCTCTTCATTGTTGACGATAATGAAAGTGTCGTCGACGTATCTCTTGTAGATTCCGAAGGTATCGATCATTTTCTTCATGCATGTGTTTTCGAGTTTTGCCATGAAGAAATCTGCAAGTAATGGGCCTAGTGGTGAGCCCATAGCTATACCATCCTTTTGGCGATATATTTCGTTGTTGAAAGAGAATTGAACATTCAGGGTACACCTCAGAAGGAGTTCTTTAAGACGCTCGGTGGGTATACCGATGTTTATTCCTTTGGAATCAATAAGTTCGCATACATAGCATATTGTTTCAGTCAGTGGAACATTTGTGAATAGTGATGTGACATCTAATGAGATCATGGTCCTGTTGGATACGTTGATGTTTTCAATTGAGTCGATAAAGTCGAATGAATCTCGAACTGTGTGGCAGGAAACTTGTCTTCTGATTGGTTCTAGTAGATCTGCTAGCCATTGGGCTGTGCGGTGATAAGGCGAATTGGTCATGTCAAGGATCGGTCGAAGAGGGATACCGTTCTTGTGTACTTTCGGAAGTCCATAGAGTCGTGGTATATTTGAGCCGGATGGTCTTATGGATTCAAACGTTTCGTTGCTGATGA